AGGGAAGGGAAGGGAAGGAAGACCCCGGGTGGGCTTGTCTTCCCTCCGGACCACTCATTTGGGAAGGCATTCCTTTCCTTTTCCCTTTTCCCTTTCCCTTTTTCTTTCTTTTTTCCTGCAAAGAAAGTCTCCCGGTGCTCCATGCGACGCCTGGGGCTTCTCCTCCTTCCCTTGGTCGCCCTGGCAAACTTTGGGCACCGCTTGGGGGCTGCCAGCACCAATGCCAGCGCCGCCCCCGCCGCCCCCCAGAGCGGCTCCATCCGAGCCTTGCGGGCTTCCAGCCTGCGGAGAGACGGTGAGTGCCTGCCTTGCCTTGCCTTGCCTTTCTTTTTGGGGAGGGCAGGGATGATGCCCAATTGAGTGCCAGCTTGGCATAGAGGTTTGAGTGTTGAGTGCATGTGCCACTCTGGAGACCAGGGTCCGATTCCCGGCTCGGCCATGGAAGGAAGCCCACTTGGGCAAGTCACACTCTCTCAGCCTCAGGGGAAGGCAAGGGCAAGCCTCCCCTGAACACATCTTGCGAAGAGGAGAGGTTCCTCTTAGGGTCGCTGAAGGGGCAAGTATGGTTTCCCTATGGGCAAGTATTGTCCTTTGTTTTAGTACGTCCCACATGAAGGTACACAACAAACAATGGTGCCAAAGCCAAGATGCCAAAGCCTAATGGAAATGGATAGGCTAGATGCCCTCTGGAGACCCTCCTGCCTGGAGAAGAGCCAGAAAGGGCAACAGGTGGAAGTGGGGGGGGGGGGGGGGCTGATGAGCCAGAGCTTGGAAAACATAACTTTTAAAAACTTGCAGCTCTCAGAATCTTCCAGATACCTGAGGTCTTCCAGCCAAGGAGGACCAGGCACCGCAAAATGTAGGACATGTGAGGAAATGGAGGGCATGACTCAAGAAAAGCTAAAAACACCCCCAGAAATAATTTAAAAAAATCATTTTTTTTAGCCCTGCTCAAAATGGAGGGTGCACTTGAAATTCCTCCTGGGCAGGAGGTTGAACGTGTCCGGGAAAAGGAGGACATCTGGTCACCCTGCCTGGCAGGTATGATCCCTGCTGGCTGAGCTGGGAGTGGGGGATTCTGGGAGTTGTGGTTCACCGAAAGGAATCTGTGAATGCTGGTAACTTCTTGGTTGCTCCTTCGCTTGTCCTTTTAGGGTTGCATCCAGAGAATCTACTGGGAAGTGGCACTTTCCTGTCTTTGTGCATGGTGTGTACAGGATATACATATAGGATTTATTTGGTTGTGGATTCAGATCTCTGTCCCCATAAATATGTGGAGGCGATTTCTGTCCAAGAAATGGGGAAACCTGTGAAACATCTGGTGAAAATGAGTTTTGTGGTCCATCCGAGGGTTAAAAGTTTATGTCACATTTAGTGTCAAATTTTACAGTGCATATCATGGTAGTAGTCCTTAGCTCAGAATAGTTACCCATGTTCCTGCATGTGCTCACTTACTAGGGACTGTATGCAAAGGGATCTTGTAGCACTTTTGAGACTATGCAAAGTACATCTGAGGAGGTAGACCTAATAGGACGTTATCACACGGGGAGTTGCAGGGAGAAAGTGGAAATAAACGGGACGAGCGGAAGACTTTAATTTATGGGATTTGTCCCATTCCACCTCGTCTGATAACTAAATTCGAATTTAAAAGGGGGTTAATTCGAACAAAAACCTGATCTTTTCAAATCCTCAAAAATTCCGAAAATGAAAATGATAGTCTACAAAAGCTAATGTTACAACTTTTTTTCCACAGTGTCTCAAAGGTGCTACAAGATCATTTTGCAGACTGATATTCCAGACTGAATTCTATCCCCTTACTAGGGACTGTGATAATTAGTTAGGGTTCTCCTCTGATAAAACTTTATTTATTCACTTTGATCACACTTGTCACCCCAAAACATGGGACTCCAGGTAACTTGAAAAACTATAAAGAATACATAGAAAATACACCTACAAAAAGCCCTATGTAAAAACACGCACTTTACATGCACATGTACTTTAACTCTATTGTTAAAGTACAATTCAACTATATATAGTATCAGATTCATTTAAAACCAATCTATTCAAAAGACAAAAGAAAACATGCCCACAATAGGGCTGTTGGCTTTAGAAGGCACAACAAAGAAGGTCCAAGAAGTGGATCTAGGATAGGTGTGTGCGTGAGTATACATATGCATACCATGTTATTGTTGTTGTGTGCCTTCAAGTCATTTTTTACTTATGATGACCCTAAAGTGAACCTATCCTGGGGTTTTCTTGGCAAGTTTCATCAGAAGTTTTTTTGCCATGGCCATCCTCCTAGGCTAAGAGAGTGTGACTGGCCCAAGGCCAGTGGATTTGCATGGCTTAGCTGGGGTTCAATCCTTGGTCTCCAGAGTCATAACTCAACATTCAAACCATTACACCATGTTGGCTCTCCACACATACCATGTTCTCTGGCAAAAATTGCCGGAACTACTGTGCATCCCACATTATTTTGGAAACCATGCTCATATGCTGTATGGACAGGAGCACATCCAGAAGCACACATTTATCCGATGGATGGATGGCTGTATCCAAATCTCTCAAAGTCACATTCAGGACCACTTCATACATTATTGTGAATTCCTACTTGTAAAACATGGTTGTATGGTAAAAATGTAAGAAATTTGGGAGAAAATAATCATGTGCAACAATACTCAATATTTTTAAAGTCTCTGAATGGACCAGTCAATGGTTTCCTCAACACACAAAGCCACAATGAACTACATTTGTGTGGGATCATTCTGATGTGCTGATGTACTTGCAAATTTCACATATTTTCTTTAGACAAAAGTTCACAAGGTGTAACATAGTCCATGTCATATACAGCAATATATTTGTAGGCATCGAATGGAAAGGAAAGTGTTGTCCAGGTAGGATATGTCCACCAATTTCATGATTTTACCTAAAAGATTTGACCAACATGATAATGGGCCAAGTATCCATAAACTACCTATATCCTACCTGTGTTGCTTCTGTAAAATCCCAGTGGTTCAGTTGTAGACATTTTCAGATGAGCATCCCGTAGTAACAAGGCTGGTAAAGACTTTTGCCTAACACTCAGTACCAACCTTCCCCAACTGTTTCTTCTTCAGATGTGTTGATAAGGTTTATGATCTAAGACTTCTAAGAGGATACAGCCACGCTTCTATATCCATGGAGTCTACAACCATGGATTCCACCACCCACGGCTAGAAAATACACACACACACACAACTCCAAAATGGAAACTTTGATTTTGCCATTTATATAAGGGACAGCATTTTACTATGCCATTGTATATAATGGGACTTCAGCATCCACAGATTCTGGTATACATGGGGGGCCCTGGAACCAAATTTCAGGGGATGCCAAGGGCCAACTATACTAGGAGCCCATTCACACTACAGAATTATAGCACTATTATTCTACCTTAACTGCTATAGTTTTGTCCTATGGAATCCTGAGTTAGAAAGTTTAGGAAGGAGCATTTAAATTTCTCAGGCAGAGAGCGCCAGTGTTTCACCAAACTACAAACCCCCAGGGGTCCACAGAAAGGAACTGTGGCAGTTAAAGTTGAATAATAGTACTATAATT